AGGTCCGCTGAAACCATTACTGATGCTCTCCCAGCTCAAAGCCTGACTCCTTTTGTTCTCTGAGCTGATGGTCTCCCAGCTCAGAGCCTTTGGAGTCCTTTCAGGTGCTGGACTCAGGTTTGCCCAGGAATCCAGTCTCGCCGGAGACCTTGATCTACCTGGGGCTGAGCCTGGTAGCTGGAAGAGCAGCCAGATGATGCACAGGCTACCCAGTAGGCTCCCTTCCAGGGTTGAACTCACATGGTTATGGAGGTCTGAGCTCCTGGAGCCAAGCATCATCAGCCTTACCCAGGTGGCCAGAATGCTGTCAGACTGCCCAGACTGGGCTGGGGTGGGGAGGCACCCAGGGTGGGGGAAAGAGTTGGGCAGAGCAGGACAGAGAAAGAAGTGTCCCTGCCTGCAGCTTCCCTGCTTGGTATCAGCACTGTGGCGCAGATAAGAGCAGGCTTGGATCCAGGTCCACCACTGGCCAACTGGGTGGCCTTGGCCAAGTAGCATTCTCCCAGGCCTGTTTCCTCATCCACAGACGAACATATTGGCAGAACAGCTTCAGCGACCTACAGCACATACAAGGGGCTTTGCGTCCGGCCATAACTGTTCCCTGTCTTTACTTTTTTTTTTTTTTGAGACGGAGTTTCACTCTTGTTTCCCAGGCTGGAGTGCAATGGCGCGATCTCGGCTCACTGCAACCTCCACCTCCTGGATTCAGGCAATTCTCCTGCCTCAGCCTCCTGAGTAGCTGGGATTACAGGCATGCGCCACCATGCCCAGCTAATTTTTTGTATTTTTAGTAGAGATGGGGTTTCACCATGTTGACCAGGCTGGTCTCAATCTCTTGACCTCGTGATTCACCCGCCTCGGCCTCCCAAAGTGCTGGGATTACAGGCTTGAGCCACCGCGCCCGGCCCCCTGTCTTTACTTTTACTATTTTATCATTCGGCTCTCAAAGTACACCTCTAGATCCACTTCCAAGAAGATCCACTTCTCTGGAGCTGTGTGACGTGGGACACGAAATTCCTCCTTTCTGGGCCTCAGTTTTTCTATCCATAAAATGGGGACTGTAGGGGCAAAAGGGTAATCTCTTTCCTCTCTATCATAAGGGTCATGGCTAACCCTCCTATAACAAAGACAAGTTAACAAGAGAGAAGCATAACAAATTTATTTCATTATAGTTTTATGTGGCACAGAGCCTGCAGAATGAGGACCCAAAAACATGAGGGAAACTATCCATTTTCATGCTTAGGCTTAATGGAGTATGGGCAGCTGTGGCAAAATATGACCCTTATTAAGAAATAAGGGTCTGCCGGGCGCGGTGGCTCAAGCCTGTAATCCTAGCACTTTGGGAGGCCGAGACGGGTGGATCACGAGGTCAAGAGATCGAGACCATCCCGGTCAACATAGAGAAACCCCGTCTCTACTAAAAATACAAAAAATTAGCTGGGCATGGTGGCGCATGCCTGTAATCCCAGCTACTCAGGAGGCTGAGGCAGGAGAATTGCCTGAACCCAGGAGGCGGAGGTTGCGGTGAGCTGAGATCGCGCCATTGCACTCCAGCCTGGGTAACAAGAGCGAAACTCTGTCTCAAAAAAAAAAAAAAAAAAAAAAAGAAATAAGGGTCTTGGCCGGGTGCTGTGGCTCACGCCTGTAATTCCAGCACTTTGGGAGGCCGAGGCGGGTGAATCACAAGGTCAAGAGATCGAGACCATCCTGGTCAACATGGTGAAACCCCATCTTTACTAAAAATACAAAAAATTAGCTGGGCATGGTGGCGCGTGCCTGTAATCCCAGCTACTCAGGAGGCTGAGGCAGGAGAATTGCCTGAACCCAGTAGGCAGAGGTTGCAGTGAGCCGAGATCACGCCATTGCACTCCAGCCTGGGTAACAAGAGTGAAACTTCGTCTCAAAAAAAAAGAAAAGAAAAGAAAAGAAAAGAAATAAGGGTCTTAATTTCTTTTTTTTTCTTTTCCCTTTTTTTTTTTTTTTTTTTTTGAGATGGAGTCTTGCTCTGTCGCCCAGGTTGAAGTGCAGTGATGCAATCTTGTCTCACTGCAAACTCTGCCTCCTGGTTTCAAGCGATTCTCCTGAGTAGCTGGGATTACAGGCGCCCACCACCACACCCAGCTAATTTTTGTATTTTTAGTAGAGATGGGGTTTCACTGTGTTGGCCAGGCTGGTCTCGAACTCCTGACCTTGTGACCCACCCGCCCTGGCCTCCCAAGTGCTGGGATTCCAAGCGTGAGCCACCGCACCTGGCCAAGGGTCTTAATTTCTTTATGGCCACCTGTTACACAAAAAGATGGTGGGGGGTAGGATGGGAGGCAGGAAAGTGAGGGGAAAATTTTTTTATTTTTATTTTTTTGAGACAGAGTCTGACTCTATCGCCCAGGCTGGAGTGCAGTGGCGCAATCTCGGCTCACTGCAATGTCTGAAGCCCAGGGTTTAAGCAATTTGCCTGCCTCAGTCTCCCAAGTAGCTGGGATTACAGGCGCCTGCCACCATGCCTGGCTAATTTTTTGTATTTTTAGTAGAGATGGGGTTTCATCATCTTGGCCAGGCTGGTCTTGAACTTCTGACCTCGTGATCCACTCGCCTCAGCCACCCAAAGTTTTGGGATTACAGGCGTGAGCCACTATGTGGCCCAAGAGCAGTATTTTCAGTTGTTATGCCTGGCTTTGGGGGAAAAGGGTTCTAGTTTCTATGACCTGCATTGGGGAAGAGATATTCTAGTTTCTATGGCTTAGGGGCTACAGACAGGAGGGCAGGAGAGAGACTGCTTTTGAATCTGCTTCTTTTTTTTTTTTTTTGGTGACAGTCTCGATTTCTTGTCCAGGCTGCAGTGCAGTGGCACTATTTCGGCTCACTCCAACCTCCACCTCCCAGGTTCAAGCATTCTCCTGCCTCAGCCTCCTGACTAGCTTGAATTACAGGTGTGTGCCACCATGCCCGGCTAATTTTTGTATTTTTAGTAGAAACGGGGTTTCACCATATTGGCTAAGCTGATCTTGAACTCCTGGCCTCAAGCAATCAGACTGCCTCGGCCTCTGGGATTACAGGAGTTTGCTTTTATTCCTTTTCTTGTCTTCTTTTTCCTTCCCCTCCCTCTTTCCCTTCCTTTTCTTCTTTCTTACATCCATCAAGTGCAGCAGTGAGAAGGGGTAAAGAGTTGAACAAGGAGTTTCATCTGTAACTGAATAATCAAATTGAGATAACTCACTACTTTTGAACTTAGGCCCTCAGTTTGGGGACTTTGGTGTATTACTTTCTGAGCCCCCAGAGAATTATCACAGTCACTTCAAAGGAATGCATGAGATTAAATGAGATAACAGAAAATCTCTTGTCACCTCTGTGAGCCTCAGTTTCCCAATTTGTAAAATGGGTTAATTATAGTGTGTGCTTCATAAGGTTGTCTGGATCAAAGGAGGTAGTCAACGAACTGTTTAGTGCACTGCTTGGCACGTGGCAAGAGCTTAACAAATTGTAGCTTTTGACAAGAGCCCAGAATGGAGCAGGTGTTCCAAAAATGAAGGCTGAATCCAAGTCACCTTCCAAGCTTTTTAATTTCTATTCATGATAACACAATATATTCTATTATGCAGAATATCTTCTCCATAATGTCCTTACTTGTTTTCATTGCCTGTTCTCTATCAGTTTTAAATGAAAATTTTCTATGTTATTTTTCCTATTCATGCAAGTAACAGATTTAACAATTTTTTTTTTTTTTTTTTTTTTTTGAGACGGAGTTTCGCTCTTGTTACCCAGGCCGGAGTGCAAAGGCACGATCTCGGCTCACCGCAACCTCCGCCTCCTGGGTTCAGGCAATTCTCCTGCCTCAGCCTCCTGAGTAGCTGGGATTACAGGCACGCGCCACCATGCCCAGCTAATTTTTGTATTTTTAGTAGAGACGGGATTTCACCATGTTGACCAGGATGGTCTTGATCTCTTGACCTTGTGATCCACCCTCCTCGGCCTCCCAAAGTGCTGGGATTACAGGCTTGAGCCACAGCGCCCAGCCTAATTTTTTTTTTTTTTTTTTTTTTTTTTTAAAGACATTGTCTCCGTCTGCCGCCAGGCTGGAGTGCAGTAGTGCGACCTCAGCTCACTGTGACCTCTATCTCTGGAGTTCAAGCGATTCTTCTGCCTCAGTCTCCTGAGTAGCTGGGACTACAGGCACATGCTACCATGCCCAGCTAATTTTTGTATTTTTAGTAGAAACCGGGTTTCACCATGTTGGCCAGGATAGTCTTGATCTCTTGAACTGTGATCCACCAGCCTCGGCCTCCCAAAGTGCTGGGATTACAAGTGTTAGCCACCATGCCCCATCAGATTTCAGTAATTCTTATGGGTTTGTCTGAACTTGTTGAAGGAGAGACCAGTTTTATGCTATTACATTACAATTACATACGTTTCCTTCCTTCCTTCTTAACTTCCTTCCTTCCTTTTCTTTCTCTTTCTCTCCTTCTCTCCTTTCCTTCCCTTCCTTTTTCCTTCTTTCCTTTCCCTCCCTTCCTTCTTTCACTTCCTTTCCTTCCTTCCCTTTCCCCTTCCTCCCTTTCTTCCTTCCTTACTTTTTCTTTCTCTTTCTCCCTTCCCTTCCCGCCTTCCTTCTTTCTCTTTTCTTTTCCCTTCTTTTCTTTCAACAGAGCCTCACTCTGTCGCCCAGGCTGGAGTGCAGTGCTACAATCATAGCTCTCTGTAACCTGGAACTCCTGGGCTCAAGCAATCCTCCCATCTTGGCCTATTAAAGTGCTGGGATTACAGGCCTGGGCCACCTGGCCTGGCCTGACTACATAAATTTCAAATGTAATACAGAAATATATGTTCCTCTAAGACTTTGCCGTGGACAAAGATCCTTCATGCCCATTGTTTTATTTCATTCTCTAACAGTGCTGGCAGGTTGGTGGTATTATCTCTATTTTGCAGATAATAAACCTGAGGCCCAGAGAGAACAAGGAGACTGTCCCAAGGTCCCGTGGTGAGTGAGGACTGAGATCTCGGCATCGTGCTTAGACACAACTGCCTCTCCCAGTGGTCTCAGAACTCCCTAAGGTCAGAGCGGCGTCTCCTTCTAGGCTGTCTCCTCTCGGCCTCCCATCCGGCAGGCTGCGTGCTCCCAAGAGCCGTGGGAGTGGGGGTCTCCTCACCCAGCCTGTTCCATGTCTTTGCATACCAGAGGGACAGACAATCTGTGGCAGTCTGAGCCAGTATTTACGGAGGGCCTGGGAGTCCTCACCCTTCAGGCGCTTGCAGGGCTGGGAAGGTGTGGCACCAGAGCATAGGGAGTGGGTGTTCGAATACAGGTCCAGGCAGGGTGCACTTAGCTGAGTAGAGCAGGGGAAGCTGCCCGAGGGGCGGGTTTCGGATGGGAACTTGAAGATGCCAGGGGTGCCTGAGGTGGGGGTGGAGCTCCCGAAGCAAATAAATGAAGGTGCAAACGCTGGGGCGCATCTCCAGCAGAGTGGCCTCGGGAGGGGTGGCCGGGGTGGGCTGAGTGAGCGTAGGGGCCGGCCGGGCTCTAGTTGGGAAACTCATCCCCTCTCCTGCGGCCGCTGTCCCCACCCTACCCCGGTCAGCCCGGCCCAGAAGCCGGAGCCTGCGCTTCCCGTCGTTCCGAAGTGCGAGAAGCGCGGCCGCAGCTCCGCGCCGAGGAGCCCCGGGAGTCCACTCCCGGGCCTCGGTCTCCCCATCTGTGCGACGCCACAGGAAGTCCCGAGACGCCGCGTCTGCACGGCCGACCCTCTCACGCGCCCGCAACACGTGGGCCCGGCGGGCGGGGTGCGGGGCGCTCGGCGTTCCCCGAGCTGGGGTAGGCGGCTGCAGCCGGAGCTCCCGGAGCGCCCGAGGTCGCCGGCCCTCCCCCGGTCGGGGCGGGGCCGCTGCCCAGCCGCCCCTTTATCTGCCGGCTCCGCCACCCAGGCCGCCGCGGCCCTCCCAGCTCAGCTTCGGCTCAGGTACGGGGCTGCGGAGACCGGGAGGCAGGGATGGCTGCAGACTGGGGTGCTCCCCACGGGGCGCGGCGGGCTGTGGGGCTGGGCGTGGAAAGGGCAGGGGTCCGCGGCACAGGGCCGGACGTGGGGACCCCGGGAGGACTGGCAGGACGCGGAGCCGGAAGCAAGCAGCCGGCTGAAGACGCAGGAAGGAGGAGCTCGCTGGAAGGTGGCGTCTTGGGAAGGATGGGAGGAGCAGAAGGAGCCCGAATGGGGAGGATTCCGATGGGGGGGCCTGAGAGCCTGTTTGTCCAGGGAGCAGGGGAGGGGAGCACTGCTGGGGCAGAGTGAAGGATGGAGGCCAGGGAGTGGGCAAGGGGGCCTGGCCTGGGCAAGGCCGCTGCCTTTCTGGAGGAGGACAGTCAGGGAGCTCACTGCTTTCTGGAAGAGGAAACTAAGTGAGACCGGGGAGGGGCGTGGGTGACCAGAACCGGCTGATGTGGGGGAGTCCCACTTAGGGACCCCAGAACAGTGGGAATAGCACTGCTGGAGGTCAAGAGGGGGGCTTGCTCCAAGGGCCCCAGCAGCCTAGACACCTTGGGGGAGGGGGGAGCCTCCCCTGGTGTCAGGAGAGCCTGGGGGTTCCCCACACACCGTGAGGGAAGGGGACAGAGAGCTGCAGCACTTGCCTCAAGGCTGCAGGCTTTGAAGCCTCCAGGCATTTCCCTGTGGCAGCCCCTGGAGGAGGCCTGCGGGGCTAGGTCAGGCCAAGGCCTCGAGTCTGAGCAGTTTGATGGATTCCGAGCCTGGCTGCTCCTGGGTGAATCACGCAGGACCCCATGTCTGAGCGCTCCTATCAGAGAGAGGGACCCAGCATCTGGTCATGAAGCCTGTGCCACCTCTGGGTCCCCTTGTTGAGAGCCTGCCCCTCTCCAGCCTTAGTTTTTCTGCCCAGAGTTCCTTGCTTGTCAGCAGTGATGCTCAGGTCCTTTTTCTGTGCCTTGTGCTGGGTGACTATAGCTAGCTCACCCAACCTCTCTGGGCCTGAGAGACTCCCCCTCCTCAGAGCTATTGTGAGTCTGAGCTCCATAGAAGAATTTCTTTAAGAATTGTTTTCTCGGCCAGGCAAAAATCCCAGCACTTTGGGAGGCGGAGACAAGTGGATCATGGGCTCAGGAGATCAAGACTATCCTGGCCAACATGGTGAAACCCCGTCCGTACTAAAAATACAAAAATTAGCTGGGCATGGTGGCACGTGCCTGTAATCCCAGCTACTCAGGAGGCTGAGGCAGAAGAACCACTTGAACCAGGGAGTCGGAGGTTGCAGTGAGCCGAGATTGCACCACTGCACTCCAGCCTGGTGACAGAGTGAGACTCGTCTTTAAAAAAAAAAGTGTTTTTTTTTCAGGCCAGGCATGGTAGCTCACACTTGTAATCCTAGCACTTTGGGAGGCTACGGTGAGAGTATGGTTTAAGGCCAGAGTTCAAGGCTGCAGTGAGCTAAGATGGTGCCACTGTATTCCAGCCTGGGGGACAGAGAACAGACGCTGTCTCAAAAAAAAAAAAAAAAAAAAAAGAATTAAGAATTAGGCTAGGCACAGGCACAGTGGCTCATGCCTGTAACCCCAGCACTTTGAGAGGCCAAGGCAGGAGGATTGCTTGAGCCCAGAAATTCAAGACCAGCCTGGGCAACATAGAGAGACCCCATCTCTACACATAGTTTTAAAAAATTAGCCAGGCGTGGTATTGTGTGCCTGTGGTCAGTGCTACACAGGAGGCTGAGGTGGGAGGATCACCTGAGCCTGGGCAGTTGAGGCTGCAGTGATCGCTGCATTGCATTCCAGCCTGGTGACAGGGTTGAGAACCTTATCTCAAGAAGAGAAAGAACTATTTACTTCACTCTGATCACATTTTCCAGTACAAATACATGGAGGCCCAAAGAGCCAAAGGTAGAAAAAAACCAAAACCAGTTTCTGTTCAGTTTTGGAAGACATGTAGAGACTTTTTCTTTAAACACATTGGACCAAGTAGGGGAGTTAGCTTGCAGTGAGGGAGGTGACCCAGTTGCTAAGAGACTGGGCGCCAGCCAGGGATGAAAACTTTGCCTGTATAATCTGTGGTCGCCACTGGGTGCCTGGGAGTTGCCTATGGTGGACAAAGGGCAACAGCACTGGTTTTGGAGTCAGATAGGTATACTCTGCTCTCCTGCCTCTGGGGCTGGGCCACCAGGTTGGCTGTGGATCCCGAAGGTTGTGAGGGAGAGGTGAAATGTGTGTGAAAGTTGTGGTAAATAGCCAGCCCCTATATATTATGAACGGAATCACCTAATCTCATTAATGATATTTCAGGTACCATATTGGGTCATCTTCACTAAAGATTCTCGAAGAGAGTTTTCTTCCGACAGCCCCAGTATTAACATTGGTCTGGCCTTATTATTTGTGTCTAATGGGGTTAGACCTTGCCTTCCATATTGAGAAAAAGTTGTCTTCAAGATAATGTGCCGGAACAATCAGGTCACAGAAAGGCAACAACGTTTTGCATGCCAAGAAGGAGGCAAAAGAGGAAGTGGAGTTGTAACCAAATAATGCTTATAATAGGTGTTATTTAGCTGAGCTATAAGCTCTAGGAGGGCAGGGTATTAATATATTGAGGTGTTGATTGGGCACTGTGGCTCACGCCTATAATCCCAACACTTTGGGAGGCCGAGGTGGGAGGATCACTTGAGACCAGGAGTTCGAGACCAGCCTGGGCAATGTAGCAAGACGTTGTCTTTACACATAATTAAAAAAAGATAGGCATGGTGGTGTGCACGTGTGATCCCAACTACTTAAGAGGCTCAAGCAGAAGGATCACCGGAGCCCGGAGGTCGAGGCTGAAGTGAGCTGTGTTTGTACCTCTGCACTCCAGCCTAGGCGACAGAGCATGACCCTGTCTCAAAATAAAATAAAATAAAATAAATCCTGAGGTGTTACCATTGGGTACGAATTCCCTGGACTTTTTTTTTTCAAGACGGAGTTTTGCTCTTGTTACCCAGGCTGGAATGCAATGGCGCGATCTTGGCTCACCGCAACCTCCGCCTCCTGGGTTCAAGCAATTCTCCCGCCTCAGTCTCCCGAGTAGCTGGGACTACAGGCACGCGCCACCATGCCCAGCTAATTTTTGTATTTTTAGTAGAGACGGGGTTTCACCATGTTGGCCAGGATGGTCTCGATCCCTTGACCTCGTGATCCACCCGTCTCGGCCTCCCAAAGTGCTGGGATTACAGGCGTGAGCCACCGCGCCCGGCCCTCCCTGGACTTTTCTATGAGGGCAGTGTTTTAAATGGCTCTGTCAACCGAGGAAGCTCCAGCACCTGGCACATCAGAGCCCTAAAGTAAATATTCTCGGACTGTCCCAGGGCCTGAGGGCCCTTGCAAGTCACTGGTGAATTTAGTCTCTCCTCCCACATTTGGAGAAACAAGGCCAAGAGGAGAAGGGACTTGTCAAAGGTTACACAGGGATTGAGCCACTGAGTCAGGACGAGAATCCCACAGAAATAACAGAGCTAGCACCGTGCCAGAGCCAACACCTGGCATCTGTGGCTTTGTTTTGCTTCCACAAGAACCCAAGAGGCAGCTATTTTAATCCTCTGATTCTAATGAGGAAACAAGATCAGAGAGGTTGAGGGACTCTTGAAAAGTCACACAGCAGGTGAATTCCAGATCCAAAATTGCATACTCACATAAAAATGAGACTTCTGGCTTCTCTTGAAATAGCCTATCGGAGATTAGTGGAGGATGCCTACCCGCAGGACAGCAGCCTTCACCAATCTCCAGGGTCACCACCTGGCTGGCTTCCCTCCAGGCTGGATCTTCCTAGGCCCCATGGGCATTTGTATGGGTGAGCCCATCAGGGCAGGGAGCCTGTCTGCTTCATTTTCTGGGTGCACCAGCACACAGAATGCCTCGATGGCATTGAGGCTGGCATATAGTAAACACTGAGTGAAATCTGTGAGATGGGGATAACCCAGGGCTCTCCTTCTTCATTGCCCATTTTCCACCACCTCCCTGTAGCCTGGTGTGTTTGCCCCAGGGGTGTTATGGGAACCTTTGACAGTGTATCCTTGGAGAGCAGGCTAGGGCTTGCAAACCTCCTGTTGAGGAGGGAGGTGAGGAGGGCTGACCTTGAGTTGAGGAATATGAATTGGGAGAGGTGGGGAAGTAGAGGGGAGGGGAGGGGAGGGGAAGGGAGGAAGTAGCAGCTCAGGCTGACAGGGTACTCCCACTGGAACCCTGGAGATTTCACTTCTGATGTTCCGCCAACCCAGACACCTCCCAAACCTCCTGCAAGACATACCCAGGCTACACCGCATGCCTTTTGGATTACCAGCCAATTTGCCTCACCCTCTTGTGCCCTCCCGCTCTCCAGTGGGGCTGCTGGGGTTGCTGGAGTTGCGGCCCCTTCCCCTGGGCCTGTTACTTCTCAGCCACATCTCTTGGGCCTGTGAGTAAGCAACAATTTTCAGGGTTCTGCGAATTTTTTTTTTTTTTTAAAGACGGGGTTTCACCATGTTGGTCAGGCTGGTCTTGAACTCCCGACCTCAGGTGATCCACCTGCCTTGGCCTCCAAAGTGCTTGGATTACAGACGTGAGCCACCATGCCCGGCCAAGGGCTCTGTGAATTCAGAACAGTTACTCTGAATGGTCTTTGCTGAGAACAGTTTAATGATTAAGTAAGGTCAGTGTCCTCAGAAGTCCACACTCTAGCCAAATTTCCCTGGCCTGCACCCCCAGGAATAAGGTAAATGTTTAAGAACACAGCGAACTTCCTGAAGCCCCCAAATCCAATGGAACTAGCTATTGAGGGCTAAGAGAGGACAGTTTTTAAGAAAACTCCCAGCAAATCTCTCAGGCTGGGGATATTGCAAAGATTACTACTATTATTATTAATAATAATTGTGATCATTTGTTGAGTCCCTAAATGAAGATAAAACTTCGTTCGAATAAACTTAATCTTTGCAGCAACCTATGAGGTAGATAATATTG